AGACACCATAGCAAAGTTCCTTTTTCCACTGGAGGGAGAGAGACCAGGAGGAGGAGGACAGATCCTTCTCTTGTAGAAAGGAGGCAACCAGGTCACACCTAGCAAGATCACTTTAATTCTCCCATTAAATGCTGATTCTCCCAAATGTTGATGTTTCTCCAACTACTGGAGTGACACAAACTTCCCAGCCAGAGACTAGTTGCACTTCCTGCTGGTCTCACTCCAGAATTTCCCATTCAGCGAGTCCTGATTTCACCATTTAAGAAGCACGGAAGAAGAACTAAGTTCGCTAAACCCAGGAAAGGGAGGGGAAGGAACTCTTCTTGTGCTCTCACACCCTCCTCTTCAGCTTTATTCCTAGATTCATACATTGTCAGGGGCTGGAAGGGACCTTGGAAGATCATCAGGTCCAGCCCCCTGCACCAGGCAGGAAAGACATCTGGGGTCAAGTGACCCCAGCGAGGTGACCATCCAGTCTCCTTTTGAAGATTTCCAGGGTAAGCGATTGCACCACCTCCGGAGGGAGCTCATTCCACAGTGTGGACACCCCAACTGTGAAGTTTTTCCTAGTCGTGCAGGGCCTCTCTCACTTGCTGGAATTACATCAAGGCTTAAGCTGTCTTGCTAGGGACAGACATTACACATAAAGCAGTTTAAGTGATCAGAAACTGGTTTAAACCTGTAACAGAACATAAGTTCAGTGCACATAAATAAATTTCAAAATGGCTGAAACTGGTTTAAGATGAACCTGGTTGAATGTAATATCAAACTTAACTGATTTGGGTCAAACTGATTTATGAGACGAAGGCTTTGGTCTTAGGGTAGTTACTGACTGAACAGCAGTTAAAGCAGTCACAAAATAATTGGTAGCTTGCAGTTCTGTTGTACATGCTCATCATTCTTAATTAGTCATTATGATTACTGTAGGGCCTAAGGACCCCCGCCAGATTTGCCACCAAGGTGTGGTGTGAGATTGCGTAATCACAGATTGCAAACTGTATTTATGTGGCAAGATCCTTAGCCAGTATATGTAGGGCAATGCACAAGCATAGGGTTTGGGGCTGTGCAAGGCAGCGAGAGCCTGTCTCTTGGAAAAGATGTCTGTTGTGGAGTCTCTAGCATATTGTGGTGCCAACTTTTATTCAACACAGCACAAGTGTGCTACAGCTCAGGCAAGCACCGTTGGGTCTTTGCTGGTTAAGGCTCTAGGACCCTGTAACCTGGGGGGTTCCTGTGTTTGTCAGGGACTCGACTCAGGAAGGCCAGCTTGGGCCAAGCACCTCAGCAGCCATACCTGCAGTAAGCCTCAATTCATGAACTCAGCTCCGGTTTAGGAGCGGTGAGCGTCTTGAATGGCTACCGGGTACACCACCAATCCATTTAGCACCAGCTGGGGTCCTAGGTTTGCAGGCCAGTCAACGGTTCGGACCCAGCTCTGCTGTAGGTAACCCTCCCCTGCCACCCCCACCCCGGGGAGCCCATCATTTGACAGCTCATCCTTTCCCCTACCTGAGAATGAGACAGACTGTCAATAGTCAGCCCCTAACTTCTAAATCACATTATGTGCATCCCAGATAGGCTGCATGTGGGCTTATTTAAAGCCTGAAGTGCAGGGAAGTGTGCAGCTGGGTGGAGCTTCCCCCACACTGTGTGGGCCGCACAGGCAGTATTTAAAGCCTGTGGGGCCAGCACCTGTGTGGGGATGCTTCCTCAGCCCCAGTTCCTGGCTGCTGGGGTTTATAATCACTACCCCTGCCAACCAGCTGGGTAGAGGGTGGCATTTGAAATCCAGAGGCTGGGCACTGGGCTTAGGGACAGCTTCCCTGAGCCCAGTTCCTAATCCCCAGGAATCTTGCTCTGCTGCAAAACTGCCCAAACCTGGGCAGCCTTGCAGCTGTGGCACGGCTGACTCCTGCCCCCTGCATACTTCCCAATGCACTGGATGGGGGCTCTTCTCCCATGGTGGGAACCCTCCCAGGGCTTTGGGAGGAGAGCGCCCCCCTTCCTGGCAATCAGCTGACTGGTGGGATACGGGGCAGGGTTGCCCTAGCTGATCCTTGAGGTCTCCTTCAACCCTTGGATTGTGTTTCCCAGGACTTCCAGTCATGCTCACTATTTTTTACCTTTTTCGTGTGCGACATACTTCCATGCGCTGCAACACCAAGCCTTCACACGTCTCAATAAGCTAATTAAATAAGCAACTACTGAGTAAAGTTATAGACTGCATTGCATAGTGAGCAATTACCACAGCGAATTAAATATAAATAAACAGAATTAAGCTTGCTGAATAAGGCCACGTAAACTATTTGCTCCAACAGAAATAAAGCCAGGATCACAGCAGGCTGTTAAGGAAAGAGTATCTCTTGCTTTCTCGACAGTCATTTTGGATTCACTTTTTTTATTCTCCATAAATGTCTAGGTTTTGTTTCTGTCTTTAGGAAACAGCAGGAGAAAGTTATCCTGTGTCCATTTTCAATTGTACTTGTATCATCTCAGCAGTGATATAAATGTCATTAGCCTCCCAAGCCTGTTTGCCCATTACTTATGGGTTATTTTTATTTTTTCTTATGCCAAAAAAAAAAGAAAAAAGGAGGGGGAAATCACCAGAATGAAACATGCACAATTTTCTCAGGACATTTTGCTTTGCCAGGGAAGACAAAATGTGCTTTTGAACCACCTGCTAAAACCAGTTCAGGTAACAATAATCCCCTCTGTGCAGGTAATAAGGGTGCTACCATTCCTGCCCTTGCAAACAGTTCATATAAATGGCTCTTTGGAGTTGTAAGAGAAAGGGCAAGAAGAGGATGGCAACAGGAACATAAATCATTGCTCATGTCCTGTGGGGAGTCTGCACAAAGGACAAAAAGTCCTGCCTGTATTTTCATTTATGCAGAGCCCCTTATGCCTTTTAACTTGAACCGTGTTGCCAAGAATCCAGGAATGCAGCAGTCCATCTCCTGGACGGGTTCGTGTCTCTGGAACATCCTCCTGCATGATTCAGAGGCTGGGCCCTCCGTTTCCTCTGCAGAGTGTGGGTGGGGAAGAGCAGAACCAGCCTCCCCTTACTGGAGAAGCTACATGAAATTCAGTGGGGCCAACCTTGCAGAATTTGTCTTTCTCTAGGGCCAATCCTACAGTTTTCCCCACAAGACAATACAAGTTGACCCCTCCTAATCAAGAGGCCCATCCTCCTGTCTTCAGATACAGCAACCAAATTCTACGCTGAAGGTAGCGGGGGGGAAAGGGAAAACCATGCTGTTCCAAACAGCTGATGTTAACCCATTAGCAACAAATCTTGCATGAATCCTAATTGCTATTTCAGCTAGTTAGTAATTTGCAGTAACCGATATTCCAGTGTGAAAGCCTCACCAAGCAATCTCTGTGCAGTTGTTCTGCTAGTTTAATACAAAGCTCTGGCATACTTTGGTGACTGGAGTGATACTGCCATCAATTCACCTCCTTTGTGAAACAGCAGAATCTGCTTAGGAAAGAAGGACTGCATTTTCATTCTTTTGCTCTTACATGCAGTTTGGTATTTCATCTACTGTTCTCTGCCATTCAGACATATGGTTGCACTTTAAAGTGGGGGTGCAGGGAAAGGTGCAAATGTGAGTGAGCTGGAAGGAGTAAGAAATGTCTCTAATTTGTGGTGTAAATGCCACAGTAAAAAACACAGTCGACTTTGTATGGCAGTGACTCAGGGCACTCAGACAAAGTTTAGTGCAGTATATGAAAAGACCAGTTCCTATCAAAGATCACTGATGGATACAAAGGGTGATTACTGAAATTATAGCATTCTGAAGTCACTGCTAAATAAGAAATGATAATTTCAACCAGTTAGCATAACACACTCTATATATATACATGCACACAATATGTATATATTCTTTGCCAGACTTTTTCCCTGCCAACATTGATAAATGTCATTATTTTCAGGGGCATTTTTGCTCACATTTTTTCTGGAGAATGGATAATTTTAGACCTATTTTTCTTCTGATGGTACAGGTCATGCTATTTGGCACCCATGCTTCATCCTTTAAAATGGAGCTTATTACTTAAGACATCCAAGCCAGTTTGCAAAGGCGATATGCAATTCAACAGGGTAAATACTTACAGCAGACTTGCGTGTTAACTTTTGGGTTAAAACCAAGTTTAGCATCAAGGACAAATGAAGAGGACCCAAGCCGTGGACCCACTCCTATTGCAACCTAGCACTTCCTGGGCTATCACTTAGGCTCAGATAGGATTCACTTACACCTGAATCATGTTTTCAACTTCTTTGCATCCATGAAGATTAAAGCACATAAAAAAATTAAAGCTGAGGTTTTGGTCTCATCTGTTGACTCCGGGAGCTGGAGCCCTAATCATCCCCGTAGAGCGCACTGCATGCTGGATGATCTTGCCTCCAGAGAGTCCCCTGCACACTGGAGGATATGGTGCTTTCAGGCTGATCTGCTTTCCCCACCCACAGCTTGTACAAGAGCCAGCATCTCCCTGAGCCACAGTCCTGGATAAGGGCAGCTGTAATCTGCCCCATTTACCTCAATCCAACTGGAAACCTCGCAACAAATCTCTCACGTGGCACACTTCCTGTTTTGCTTAGTTTGTGTATCCACTGCTGTAGGCCACGCATGGCCCGTTCCAAGTCCCTTTATTCACCAACTGCCTCTTTCCTTGGGAAGTTGGAGTCCTCCTCCGAAACCTGTCTGCTCCCTGACTGTCTCATGCAACTTTCAAGTCATCCCCAGACACAACGGAGCAGAAGTCCGCTCTTCTCTGAATGCTTCCCGCTCCCCTGAAAACAGAGTTCCTTTCTCCTGTGTTGCAAGCATCCCCCTCTCCTCCCCTGCTGGTCTCAAGGGCTCTTCGGAGTCACTCCCGGCTCCAAATGGTACCTGGTTTTGAATCCTCCACCATTTCTTGGCAGCCAGCGCATCTGACAGAACCAAGCCCTTTGTGAGGTGGCGTTGGTTGCTAGGACACGCCGGGCTGCAAGGAAACAAAAGGCCTGGCCCTGAATTCCTGCAGCCCCTACGTTGGGTGCCACCTGCGCTACGTCTCACAGTAGACCTGGGTCTGACTATCCTCAACCAAGCGCTGGCCGCGTTCCACGGAGAGGCTGAGATTCCTTAGCCTCGGGTAACGGGGGGAAATGGGGACGAACGGGGGATGGTGGGAGGAGGGCAGCCCTGTTAAGGTCATGAGTCTGAGTTCAATGACTTGGGATGGGGGACTACTGTCAATGCGAGGGGATGGTGATGGCACCAAGTGGGGTGGAGCAATTATCAATAGATGTCGAGAACTGGGAGGATGTTGTTGCGAAGGAAGTGAGAAAACAATTGTCAAGCGTTGGCCGTCACTTGGGGGAGGATCGTTTTCCAGTAGCGGTGCAATTGCGTGAAGGGGTATCTAAAGAATGGAGGGGCTTCTTCTCAGATTGGCATTGGCCAAAGAACGTGGAGTGCTACGTGAAGTCTTTTGGAGGGACATGAATTGTCAACGGCAAGGAGCTAATGTTTAAGGGTTAGGGGCAAATCATCCAAAGGTCTGTTGGGAGACATTGAAATGGGCATTTACTAACAGCGGAGTGAAGATGTGTGATAATGGTGGGTAGTTTCCAAAGGCTAAGGTTGGAGATGTTGATGACATGGAAATATTGGGGGTGAGTGTTATTGGTATGAAAGCCAAGGACCGTTTTTAACAGATATTTTTGGCTTTTGATTTTCCTAGCTTAAGTCCTAGGTATTTGCTGTCTAAATCAGTGGTGCTCAACACATTTGGCCCTGGAGGTGAGATAAGCGGCATGGGGCCAGTCCATGGGCTGGATCTGATGTACAAGATCAGTCCGTGTGTGCCATCCAGCACATAGGACCGCAAATGTGCCTATGCATGTGCAATAGACTTTTCCACCCAGAGAAATCTTAGTGTATTCTTATTTTGTTTTTAAGTCATGTGCACTTAGATTTTGCTCTGAAATTATAGACAGAGCCAGCAAACTGAACCACTTCACAAATTAAACCAGATCTTTCCAAAAGCACTGATAACTTTTCTAAGAAAATCTTGTCCTTTAATACTTTTACCCATTTCCAGCATAGACAGAGTATGTTATAAAATGGTTATTTTTTTCCCCATAGGTACAGTAATTATGCCGTATACAGATACGCACATAAGCATCCCGCCACAACTTCCAGAAATATTGAAACAATATACAAAAGGTGCTATCCGAAACCAGCCTCCAGATCTTCTACAATGGTCTGCTGAGTATGTTAAGACTTATTTTTTTCCTAACACATACTTAAAAAACCCCTGAGTAATTCTCAGTTACAAGGGACATACCAGGTACCATGGAAAAGTTAATTGCTTCAGTGGATCTATTCCCTGAAGTCAATTGAGTGCTGCCAGCTAAGGATTGGCCTCTTAGTACAAAAGAAACTGGTAACCTTACTGAGCACCTGCAACTCTGCGAAGTCAATGGGAACGATGAATGTTCACTTCCTGTCAAGGTTTGCCTTGTGCTGCTAATATTTGCTATAAGTACACTTTCACCTTCTCATCTTCCCCACTGTGCCTGGACATGTGGTAATTGTAAGTACCTCTACAGCTGGTACATCATTAGGATAATCAAGCCAAAGACTAAGATATGGGTAATCACTCTGCTCCCTACTCTAACTCATGGCGCTTCACAGAAACAGACATTCACTGTTGAGTCAGGGGTAGGGGGGATTGAGCTCCACTTTGGAGGTGATCCAGCGAAGGAGCTACAGCCTGCCTACAGCCTCTGTCCCCTAGCCAACCCCTCCCCCCCGTTCCAGTGCTGTCTGCAGGATGGGAGAGGGGAGAAGGGAGGGGAGGGAGCTCCAGACTGGGGTTTGCCCAGCCTGAGCTGGAGAGGGAGGGAGCTGGCGGGCCATGAGGCAGGGGTCTCCAATCCACCTTTCCCCCCTCCAGCTCAGGCTGGGCAAACCCCAGCCTGCAGCTCATTCCCCCTCTTTTCTCCCCCTGCCCTCCTACAGACAGCACTGGGGGGTGAAGCTGGGCTGATGCAGCACAGCCTCAACTGCACACAGAGACTGACAAAAGTTAATGAAGGTGCTCCACTTTTGAATGTCTTCATCTGAACACTCATTAGATAAGGGTTAATTTGTCAGATGATTGGGCACTTTTAAAGTGCTCTGCAGCCATGAACTTCTGTCAGGGCATGGCTGTAGAGCACTTTCAAGGGGCCGATCACATGACAAATATAACTTCTATGAGCACCCTCTGTGTCCTCAGATGTATAATTGCTGGCTTGAAATCAGAATGGTTTTAATTAAATTGTTCTGAAAAGCAAGTTTCTACCTATATTGAGCCCTTTAGTGAATTATATACATTTTAGAAGCACTGCTTTTTCACTCCAAATTCTTCACCATCCAGGAGCAAAGGGGGATAATGTTTGTTTCTTAAGTGCATTCATCTAGGGTAGCCAGTTAAGTTTTTGAAAACTGGTCAGGGATCATCAGATTGGGATCATCAAGTCAGTATAGGTACAGTGACTTCAGTGAAGGAAGCATATACAAACAGACCTATATGTGTATATATGCATGTATCTACATATATGCACTAAAGTCACTGTACCTGTGCAGATTTACGCTGAGTCAGGATATGGCCCTGTACCTCTACAACCCCACTACTCCCTTTGTTTACCTCCGAGTAACTCTCCAGTGGTCTCCTCTTCAGTGGATTAGTGGGTGACTTGATCTGAACCATGATGAGGATGACTTTTACATTATATTTACATACTCTATTGCAGGGGTTGGCAATGTTTTTGGGCAGAGGGGCCCGATCCTTGTTGTAGCAGTGCAGCCCCAGCCCCGGCCCCTATCCCAAGGCCCAAGTGCCAAGCAAAATGCCTTCATGTGCCATGCTCTGGCACACATGCCAAGGGTTGCTACCCCCTGCTCTATTACATTACAAGGCTTTGTTTTGCTTTGTGGTTGGGGTTTTTTTTACAAGTAATGTTTAACACAACGGCAATATCCAAAGCATGTTAGATTTTACTTGCTTGTTTTCAAATTTGCCAGCTATGGAGCCTAAATTACTATACAAAGAGTTTTCCTCAGGGCACATCAGTGCCTGGAGTAGCACTAACATTTAAACCAAGGGATCAGATTTATTTATAAGGCAACATGTCCTTTGTCTAATGAATATCCCTATTCTGAAATGTCAGCCTATCAGCTGATATTGACATATCTGGATAATAGATAGGGATAAAACTTTTATTAACTGAAGAAGGAAACAAATTGCTTTTGGTAAATGCACAGAACAATGGGCTTAAAAAATAACAGCCCTGTTCTCTTTCAGTGCTTTCAGTATGTTTGATGTATTATGTGTAAAGCGGGGCTATGTTCTGTCCAGTTTACTCATTTCCGGTAGCACAAAGATATTGCATCTTGAATGCAGTCTGGTTTGAGATTTAACAAAAAAGCCCAGTGATACCACTATCACTGTAGTGCTACTATCAGAAGCAGAGTTCTCCATCACCAGTTTGCTTTCTTGATATCACAGAGCTCAGGTCAGAGAAAACTGGGCTGGAAGGAGCAGCCTCTGGATCTGATCTAGTCCATCGTTTTAGCCCAGGAGGACTAGAGGCATCCATACTACAGTTTGTAAGAAACTCCATGGTTTCCTTAAAACTTGATTTTTTTATTTAAAGGCACTGTTTATTCATGAAGGGTACTTTTAAGTGTTTGTTAAAGTACTTTCCTAACTATGAATCAAATTTAGCATGCACTCAAGTGCTTTACTGAACTAGGCACAAAATATAACTCCTAAAGAAAAGGGCACTACGGGCCTGATTTAATGTCCACTGAATTTAGTGGAACAACTTCCACTAACTACAGTGAGGTTTGGATTAAGTCCTTCAATCCTATCTGTAGCAATCTTTGTGCAGGAGAAAAGGAAAAGATGTTTGGTAGTACAGTACTTTACACATAAAAACCAGTGCAACTTTAAACAAAAACTGCTGCCAGCAGACAGCAGAAAAGCAATTGTCTTCTATTTAGTAGCTATAAATTATACTAAACCTTCCTGTTTGATATCTGCTACTGTGAAATACATTTCAAAAGCAGCACTTCTCTGTCTTTTTATCTAGTTACTTTACAGCTGTTGCCCATGGTGATATTCCTCCAGTAAGGGAGCGAACGGAGAGGGCCCCTCTATCAAACTGGGCAGACCTCACTCCAGAGATCTTAAAGGTCTTACATCAAAGAGTAAGAAACACCTCGTTTACATTTTGGGGCAAGTACATAGCAGGTAGATGATTTGCATACATATGCTATTTTGCTTTGGTAATTATGATACAGTGACCACATTTTCTTTCTAAGGAAGTGTAATTGCTTTCAATGTTATGTCTGGAAATACTTGATTCAGTTAATTCAAGTAAATGTGTATGGAAAGTATTAATATATTACCTGGCAGCTTTGAAAAGCATGAAAGAACTAAGCACATGACCTTTAATATGACTTTTTGGCTGCCTGCAATAATACAAAATACACTATTCCTTAACTGGACTTCCTTTGGCCCTGATTGTGAATCTTTCTCATATTGGTGGGAATCTTTCTCATATTTATTGATGTGAATTCTCCTCATTGTAGCCAAAAGGAGAATTCACATCAATAAATACGTACTGGCAATTGGGACATTTGTAAAATTAAAGTTGCACCAGATGTAGCAGGAATAATTCTTGACCAGCAGGGGATTGGGACACACATCATCGATAGATTTCATGCTTCCCTTGTCACTCAAGTTCACAGCCTTGTGGGGCTCCTGGATCCTTTGTTGCACCTGGATCTTCAGGTGGCGGTAGTGGCTGGGAGAACCCTTCACCAGCTCCACTTGGTAAGAGGGCTGTGACTTTCTTTCAGCTTCAGATCTGATCACCATCCATGCTTTTGTAACCTTGAGACTAGACTGTATTCTACTATTACATGGGGCTGCCCTTGATAACTGTCTGGAAGCTGCAAGTGGTACACAGCGTAGCAGCTTGCCTTGTGATAAGAGTGCGTCTCCAGGAGCATATAAGCCCAATGCTGCCTTAGCTCCCAAAAGCTTTTGGACACAATTCAAGATGCTGGTTTTGATCTACAAGGCCCATAATAGTTTGGGTCCTACATATTTAAGGGGCTGGCTTCTGCCTATCTTGATTCCTAAGGTCAGCTGAGAGAAGCCTCTTGCAAGTGCCATGAGTGCACCCAGTTTGCTTTGTAAAAACACGAGAGGTCATTCATGGTAGTGACTCAGCTGTGGCACTCTCTCCCCACTGGGACTTGCCAGAGCCCAACCTCATCTTTTGGATATGCTATATCTTCTTGTTTGCAGAAGTGTTGAGCAAGGAAAGGAGGTTTTTTTCATAACTTACTCTAACAGTCTATCCGCTTTTTTTAGTTATTATGTTTCCTTTATTGTAAGCCTTTGTTGGGAAGAGTAGAACATTAGTAAGCAAATAATAAATAAGTTCCGTTATTTATACTGTTAATTTTACTTGTATTTACATAATTTGTGATTGACCCCCTCCAGTTTTTAGTTATATTTTCGATGCAAATCAGACTTACAATGAGCTTTTACCACTGTGCCTGCAAAATGGGTGTCAGGAATTAAATTACTCCTAAAGGCCCTTGGCATCATTAACATAATTTCAATCCAAAGTTACCCCAAATGACGTCAGAGCCAAATGTCTATACAGAGTCCTAATCAAGTTTCTCAAAGAGCCGTCATGGAGTACATTGTTGCATGATTAGGAAGATTCAGTATAGTGGGAGGGTCCAGCTACACCAAATATTCTGACACCACTTGTTTTTGGCATAACACTTTGGTGATAATTACTGTTCCTTGAAAAGTCCTTACCATTTAGTAAATGTAGCTCAAACACAGTGTTAAGAGCCCTTGAGCACTGAAGGGCCTCTGGCATTTTCTCTTCTGCACTGTGCAGCAAACGATCAAATCTATCTATGATGCTTACTAACAGGATGTTGGAGTTAATGAAATTCTGTTTTAAAGATCTGGAAAAGAAACCCCAGCTATGGAGACAAAAGGTATTCCTTTTCTCATGACAATCCCATGATATTGTTATATATGTTTCCAGGTGGGTGGGAGACTGATAGTCCATGCGGATGAACTGGCTCACTTATGGAAGGTGCTGAATCTCCCAATAGACTTATTCGAGAGCGTGATGAATGTAGGGCATTTTACTGAAGAAGTTGAATGGCTAAAGTTTTTAGCCCTGTCAAGTAGTTCTCTTGGAGTTGTAAGTATTTCCACACTTTTTATTCATGTGTATTTATATTCTTTAAATAGCTGATTTTGATTTTATATTTGGGTTGTGCCTGGAGTTTGCGCAAAAGGATATTTTAACCATGTTATGGACTGACCCACACCTCCTGGCTTTGAGCCATTATTTTTAACTATGCCACCTCAGGTATGAATGGAACCTGAATGTCCCTGTAAACTCCAACACAGCATGCTTTGCTTTCAGCTGATCCATCTATTGGTGCATTGTTAAGATTTGACAACAGGTTTTAGTTATCTATCCTTGTTTCACAGATCATCTGCAATTGCAGAAGTGTAAAATAAAACAGATAGAGTGACAGTGGCAGCAATGCTGGCTTCACCTGACTATAATTTATTTTTTTCTAAGCCCAATGCCATAGTTGTGAGGGCAGCACAGAAGAGATTCTTTATCTCTACCATAGTATCCCAAAATTACAGTTAGCAGATTTTGTCTGAGTAATGAATAACTTGGTGAATTCTGGCTTTCTTCACTCTGACTGGTTCACTTTTTCCCAATTTGAGGAAATGTTATTTTAAAAGAAAATCACTCAGACCTGGACAAAATATCATGCGTCTTTGGAGACAAGACAACATGGGATCATAAGAAAGTAGGGTTGGAAGGGACCTCACAAGATCATCTAGTCCAGCCCCATACTCAAGGCACGATCAACCTGACTCAACCAACCTAGTCAAATGTCTGTCCAACCTGCTCTTGAACGTTTGCAAGGATGGAGATTCCACGTCTTCTCTAGCCAGCCTGTTCCAGCGCTTGCCCACTCCTCCCCTCATCTTCAGCCTAAATTTCCTCAGCTGCAGCTTGAAGCCATTACTCCTAGTCTTGTCCCTTACAGCTACAGAGAAAAGTCCATCTCCATCCACTCTATAATCTCCCTTCCATTATGGGAATACTGCTATGAAATCCCCACCTCCCCTCAGTCTTCTTTTCTCCAGACTAAATAACCTTAGTTCTTCCTCATAAGTCTTATCTCCCAGGCCCCTGATAATTTCTGACACTCTGCTGGACTCTTCCCAAATTGTTCACATCCTTCTGGAAGTGTGAGACCCAAAACAGGACACAATGCTCCAGATGAGGCCTCACCAATGCTGAATAGAGCAGAAGAATCTCTGCTCTTGATTTTCCTGTCAATACAACCCAGCATGCTCTTGGCCTTTTTGTCAAAAAGAGTAAACTGGCATTGATGACCTCTACCTAACCCAGGAGGTCTATGGGCCAACTAGGAGAGAGGCATTGCTTGATGTGGTCCTGGCCAAAGGGGAGAACCTGGTAAGCGATCTGCGGATCGAGGGGAAGCTTGGTGACAGCAACCATGAATTCATAGATTTCATAGACACTAAGGCTGGAAGGGACCTTGGAAGATCATCGAGTCCAGCCCCCCGCCCAAAGGGCAGGAAGTCAGCTGGGGTCATAAGATCCCAGCAAGATTAGCATCCAAATTTCTCTTGAACCACCTCTGATGGCAGGCTGTTCCAGACCTCGGGGGCTCGGACAGTAAAGAAATTCTTCCTTATGTCCAGCCTGAAACGGTCTTGTAGTAGTTTATGACCGTTTGACCTCGTCATCCCTTGGGGCACTGTGGTGAACAAACGTTCCCCCAGATACTGGTGGTCACCCCTGATAAACTTATAGGTGGCCATCAGATCACCCCTGAGCCTGCACTTTTCCAGGCTAAAGAGCCCCATGGCTCTCAGCCTGTCATCGTAAGGTCTGTTTTCCTGACCTCTGATCATGCGCATGGCTCTTCTCTGCACTCTCGCAAGCTTCTCCACATCCTTTCTGAATTGTGGGGCCCAAAACTGGACGCAGTACTCCAGCTGCGGCCTCACCAAGGCCGAGTACGAGGGGAGGATGACGTCCCAGGATTTGCTTGAGAAGCATCTATGGATGCAAGCCA